TTATTATTATTATTATTATTATTATTATTTTGTTTCTGTTGATACTTGACTACTAAAGACCTATTTTGTAAGCTGATATCTGGAAGATATAGTTGCTAGAATAGTCCCCGTTGCACAGTTAAGTCCATTCAAGGATTTTAAAAGTTATAAGCTCGTTTGGATGTCATGCTGAGTCAAGATAGCTTTCCCTCTCTGACCACATGATGCCCACTATAATGTTTGCTGCAAGTGGTTCAGGAGTTTTGGTGGATCGTGCAGATGAACAGATATTAATTTTAGCCTTTAGTTGTGGGAAAGGTGTAGTTTTCAATAGCTGACGAAACTGCCTGACTTCCATGATACGTAATTACTCTTAGCCATCACCCAAATGTTAGGAAGCATGTGAAACTGACCACAGAATGGGAAAGTTTTGAGCTCCTCTCTAAAGCTATATGGGAGGATGGGGAAAAGAAGCAAGGAAGCCAGGGAACACTAAATGCTCAGTTTATTCTCAAAGTTAAACCATTATTTGATATTATGCCTGATTGTAGCCATTGTGTGTTTATTTGTTTAGGAAAACTTTGAAAGATTTTCCTTTAAAAATAAACTGATTTCTACAGAGGTTATATATATATATGTAGAATTTCTTTTGGATAATAGCATAGCATTTTCGGAAGACAGTATTCACCTGGGGTTTTTGCAGTTTTTCTCATAACTTTATGAAGTGTAAGCAGTGACTTAGTAAGTTCTTTTTCCTATTCTAGGCACTTACAGATTGAGATATGCACCTCCTCCCCCACCCCCTTCTAATGATACGTTGGATTCCGCTGACTGAAACCAAGTAAAACATTGCCTACATACCAAAATGAAGTTTGAGAAATCTGGGAAATTCTTTGGATTTGAGAGATTCTTTGTGTGTGTTTATGTTTTGTTGCAATTTTTTTTTTTTCATTGCTTGTGAACATCTGTTCTGATAGAAAAGAAGAAAGCAATTTTACTCCTGGTCTGACTTGCATAAAGCATGTTGCTTGTCTCAGCCAATCGTTCATTTGAATTAATTGACTTTTGCACTGAGGACTTGAGAGATGCGATGTTTACTGCATTTTTTTAAAAGGTCATTTAATCTCCAACTACACTGGTGAACAGCCATAGGGTTAAAAGGAGGAACTGGGTTTATGTTCCCAAGTGACGTTTCCCTTCTCTTGTCTTAATGCTGCTAGTCTCCTTATCCTTGCTGAGTCTACCTGTCTCCATGGGATTGGGCAGATAATCAGCTCATTAATTCTAGTAAATCCTACATTTGTGAATTGATGGAGGTATTGCTTACTCTCCTTGAGAGAGATGACCATTTACAATACACACACACATATATATATATATACATATATATATATACGGTTCTTTAATGTGCCTGTATGTGCTAAAATTGGATGAGGAACATTTAAAATGATCTTTAAAATTTCTGAAATAGAAATACATTGAACAATTTCACATTGGTTTGCAGTTCTTTTTAAAACCTGTTCGGTTCAGAGTAAAAAATTAAAATGAATGCCTTAGCTTATGTCTGCATTTGTAATGGATATTGGCAGCAAGTATCTTTATTAACCTTTCAACCTTGTCAGTATAAAAGACACACAAATGGGGTGTTAAAATGTTTTTAACATTACTCCCCTGAAGTTACTACAGTGTTGTGTTTAGAATGTACATGGTATAGCATTTTGGACAAAAACCTTGTGTGTGTTCTAAAAATCTGTTGAATAATTTGTATGCTAGAAAAAGTCTTACCAAATAGCAATGTCACTTTCTTATGACAATTTACCACTGTGTGATCACAATATAATGTGAAAAATTCCAATGAGTGTGAAAAATTGATCATGTTAGTGTCATATTGCTAACTTTATTGCTGCTGTATTTTATTTCTCAAAGCCAACTTGTACTAAATTGCACTGAGTTTATCTGGAAGAAAACTTTTGACTGTTTAAATCAACACTGAACTGCCACCGTATATGTGTATCTCCATGTACCACAATTCATTAAAATGTAGATTTTACTTTTTTAAAAAATTTAGATATGCAGCAGATAAATACCGGTCAGAACATTTGATTCATTCTAATGGCTAAACAAACTTGAAGAAACTTGATTTATTACATTTATTCATAGATAGCATTTATATTTATAGCACCAATATATTTTGAAAGTAAAGAATAAAGGGGTAGAAGAGAGCTTTAATTTAAAAGAAATTAGTATAGGAAATTATTTTGGTTAAAAATTATTTGCGCTGGGTATGTTGGACCATATTTAAGTAAAATGACTGCTTCTGAGTTCAATAAAGGTGTAAAAGCACCTTGAACTTGTATTCTCAATTATCTTCCAGTTTACTTTATGGAACTTATTTTGTGATTTAAGATACTGTACTGTAAATGGGAAGTATGTTGCCTTCCTCTTTATTTGTATGTTTACCCCATACTTTGATATTTCAAATGTTATGTACTGGAAAGGTCACTTATATTTCTAGAACAGATTGGATTTTATGCAGCATTTTTCCTTGAATTAACAGCAATAAAAACAGAAAAAAATCGTATTTTGAAAATAATGTATTATTTATGGCAGTGAGAAGTTGTGCTGGTTTATCCATTTCATGATTTCAAGTTGGGAGTTCATTTTAGCTTGCTCCAAACATCTCTAATTTAAATAAAAGTTTCTTGAGTGTTTATGGGTATACAGGAAGAAATGACATATTTTTCCATTGCCTCAAATTACTTCCAAAAAGGGTTGGCTCTGAATGTACAAAGAAAACAATGTTGGGTTCTCATATCTCCAAGTACAGTTTACCAAGGTTTGTGCATTATGTTATCATCCCAACAATGTTCTTACACCACTCTTTCTCTCCAATAATCTTGCTGTATTGCGAGGATGTGTACCACATGACTTGTTACAATGGGCGGTCATGCGAATCTAATGTTAAAAACATTGGTTTTAGATTGTGGAAAAGATCTCTTAGAAACACAAGTACACAAACAACAGTTCGCCATACATCACAGTATATCATGTTATCATCATATCCTCCAATCTGCAGCTTTTATATGTAGTGTTTGCAATAAACGCTGGGAGTTGAAGTCCACAAGTCTTAAAGTTGCCAAGTTTGGGAACCACTTGCTCCACAGCATTAAGTCATTTTATGTCTTCCTTTCCCTCTCCCGTGGTAACACGTGATCAAGTCAGTTTTTGACTCCTGACAGCTGCTTGGATAAATTTCTGTATTGTTCTTGGATAGATTTTTCAGAAGTGATTTTCTTTTGCTTGCTTCAAGCGCTTGAGAGAGTATGACTGGCCCAGGTTCACAAAACTGGCTTTGTTCCCAGGACGGAACTAGAACTCAGGCCTTCCTGATTCCTAATTAATGCAAACTGAGTCTTTTGTCAACATGAACCAAAGGGATATCCACACTTACCATTTAAATGGTTTCTGTTCTGTGATCGTGTGACAGCTTAAAGCAGTTTAAGCAAAACTGGCCCAGACTAAAACAGACAATGTGTTAAACGTGCAGCTGCTGGATGATAAGTAATTCTAGAAGCCGATTGGATAACTTCTCCGCTCCATTAACCGCGTATCAATTAAGCTGCTTTCCCTTCCTGTGAATATCAGGATTCGCTTTTCCGTTTTGCTTTGCCTTTCCTTATTACAGCCCTCCGAAAAAGTGTTCAAATGGGCTGCTCAGCTTTGCACATCATGAGGAGTGGATTCCAGTCAATATTTTAAATACCTTTTTGAAAGAATGGCTGAAGTTGCTTTGCATTGCACCGAACACTCCCAGAAGGGGAGAGAAATCATGTCAAGAGTTGAAGATTGTGCATTGATCGCCAAGAAAAATGGTGCTTCAGCGCTGAAACCACCTTGGTGAAAGATGACTTTGTGGCTTTTGACAATGGAGTGGCAGCCAATTATCGACTGTATTTAGCTTACCATCAATTTAGAAGCACCTATTACTGCACCTCGGTTCACCCACGTAACACCTATCCTCCGCGAGCTGCACTGGCTGCCTATTGATCTTCGGATATGCTTCATGGTGCTAGTCGTCACTTATAAAGCCCTTCATGGTATTGGACCTGGGTACTTGAGAGACCGCCTGCTGCCAATTACCTCCCATAGACCGATCAGATCCCACAGATTAGGCCTCCTCCGAATTCCATCCGCCGGCCANGCCTGCAGTGCTGCATTTAACCACTGCGCCACCTCGGTTCTTCATCAGATTGTATGATGATTGCAGAAGGATGTGGCTATCAGGGTTCCAAAAAACACCCCCAATGAAATAACCCCCCCTCAAGGCTTGTGTTTCCTCAAAGTTCCACTTTATTAGAGATGTCATGTTGGCACATCTGGGAAAACCCAAATCTGAAAGCTTCCAGGTTTTCCCAACCCAATTGAAAGTTCAAGATCCTGCCCCCAACACTCAAAAGTCCATCCCATGGTCCAATCTTCCACTGTCACGAAGACAAATTCCTCCCATCCACATCCAGCCAGGTGCAGGGACAAAAGTGACCTTGACTTTCAGAGAAAGAATGTCATTATGACTACATATCATCCAACTCTGCATAAGCCCCCTCCCCCCATTTTCCCACAGTAGAAAGTGTGGCAGGCCGGAAGTCCAGAAAGAAAGGATGGTGGCTATATTCTGATTGCACTCCATTAAGTTAAGACGGAGAGCCAATCTGGTGATAAGACATCAGGCTTGAAACCAGGAGACTGAATTCTAGTTCTGCCTTGGTCATGAAACCAGCTGGGTAACCTTGGACCTAGCTGGCTTCTCTCAGCCCTAGGAAGCAGGAAACTACTTCTGAAAAACCTTGCCAAGAAGGTTGCTAAGAAACCAAGCATCCAGGTGGTTTTCAAGAACTGGACATGATTGAACAAAAGAAAAATAATAATTAAGATGATCTTGAGAAATATGCAGTCAGTGAATACTTGGGTAACTTTTCGTTGCAGAGAAATAGAGCCCATTCAGCCTAACTATAATATAGTATATATCTCCATAGGTGGCGTTTCAAAAGACCTATTCTCACATCTACAGTGAATATTGCACCAATAATTATTATACCTTAAAGCTCATTTTGCAAGATGCTTAAGTTAGCAGAGTTTTGCTGCGGAACAAAACATAGACAAAAAAAATACAGGGGAGCATAACCATTGGAGTTCTTTTGGATTCGTAGTTCGGCCTTTTATCAAATGCAGCTGATGTGTTAGGAAAAAGAACTATAACATAATAGAGTGAAAGCCCATATTTAAAGCTGATTCGTATTTCAGAAATCCATGGTGTAGCTATCCAGAAATTTACCATTTCAAGGGGCATGGGGAGGAAGAGAATTCCATATAAATATAAATGCTCCCATCCGTGGTATAGTTGCTTCTGTTTTTCGATCACTCTACTATGCCTATTTAATCATTTTAGTTAGGGTGGTTTTACTGTTGTTAGTTACTGTTGGTTTTATTGAGAACCACAAAAGTGGATTTACCAAACAAGCAATTATAAAGGATTGACATATAGTTTATCAACATTTTAGGCTGCTGGTGGCGCAATAATGGAAGAAGGAAGATTTGCCTACNGCTCTCCCCCTGGGGGTCGCTAGCTGGCACTGTCTGGCTGAAATAAATTATGCTGCTGATTCCTGAACTTCAAAAAGTAACAAGGCAAAGTCACAGGTGCCATTCAGATATATACTTATTGCAGGACAAATTTTGGAAAGGAATTAGTGGGCTCTCCTGCCTTCTTCCTAACCCACCTACTAGTAGGGAAACAAACACCAATCATTCTTCCCAACCGGGGGGGGGGGGGGGGACTAAGTGAGTAATGACATGTTCTGTCACCTATTCAGCTGCCCAGAAAACAGGTTACAGAGATGGAGGGCTGTGTGGCTTGAACCAGGGGAACCTGGTTCAGCTCTTGCTCAGACGGCTCTCCTCAATGCCTGTGCCATGTCAGTTGGCTTATTGCTGCATAGATCGCTAAAGGTAAGCTCAAAAATAGCCTGGACAGGTATCAGGAAATACTAACAGGCGACCTCTGTCCTTTTCTACAGCTGCAAGGGAATAGCCAAATACCAACTAGTGATTAAGGTCTAATCTCAGGGCTGCAATCTTGGAAAGGTTTCACTGAGAACACATCATTCTGATTGCCCAGCTCATGAGAACAGCGATCATCAACCAGAATACCTAGTGCCACTAAAGCAAGGACGAAGCAGGCAAAAGGGCACCGTGACCCCCAAGTAATAAAAATGGCAAGCTTTATTGCCATTTGAAACTTCTTACTGTCAGAAGCAGATGGAAATGTGTAATGTTCTCTCTGTGTCTTTAGATACGCCTTCTGTGAAGCACATTAGATTAGCATTTCTTATAGAGAGCGTTCTAAACAGTGGTGGGATTCAAATAATTTAACAACCGGTCCTCTGCCCTAATAACCAGCTGGGTAGGTGTGGCTCAGTGGTCATGTGACTGGGTGGGTGGGGCCAAGTCAATGTCACTCACGTCGATGGGCGCCTCGCCTTCAATAATTTTTGGAACCTCTTCTGTAGGTGTGGCCTGCTTTCCGGGTCCACTGGTGGAACCTCTTCTAACCGGTTTGGTAGATTTGACAAACCGGTTCTACTGAATAGGTGCTAACTGGTGGGAACCCACCTCTGATTGCCGCCATCGAAGAGCTAATAGGCTTCAGGAACAATTACACAATTACAGGAGGTGATTGCACTCAGCTGGTGGTCATTAGGCTCCTCTCCAGACTATAAAAAGGCTACTTGTGCACACGGTCCTCTTTGACCAGCTGAAGTCAACACAGAATCGAATGTCGGAGAACTTTGTATGAGCTTGGCAGGCTGGATTGCTGCCAAGGTTAGTCTGTGCTGGATTGCTGCCAAGGCCTGGACTGTATGTTAATTAATCCTTGAAGTATCTTCGTCTCGGCGTGCTTTGGTGTGTGAAGAGGTGGGGTCAGAACAGAAAGCCATTCCACCAGTTAATTCTCATTGTCGAGAAATGTCTTCTTGGTTCAAAGAGAACAAAGCTCTCCTTGAACTTCATTGTCCCAAAGGTGCATTTTTCAAAAGTCAACTGGACTTTGCTTCTCCTTGAGTTGGCCTTCAAGGAAAAACAAAAAGTCCAATTCCCTTTTGAAAAAAAGCACCTTTGGGACAACCATGACCTGGATGACTGAGAATCTCCACAAACATTTGAACTTCATCCTTAATCGAGGATACTTGACGTTTTTGCTCCTCCTTCTCCGAAAGAGACATTTTTCAACAAGCTAAGCCAGGAATTTCCTGGAATGTCTCCCAATAGAAATCAGTTAATTCAACCTCCCATCGTTGTGACACTTTATATTTTTGAAACAGCTTCAATCTGCTTTCGAAAAGCACCATGCACACCTTTCCCTTAACTGAAAGGAGGATAGCAGACACCAACAACAACCCTTCTTTTGTTTCGTTCTTCTCCCTCACACACACACTCCCCCCCCGCCTCTTTTAACAGAAATGTCCTCTCCAGCATTGCAAATTCATTCATTTGGATTTCTGAGCAAAAATTGGTATTTTCAGC